ACTTGATTTTTACCCCTATTTTGAAGTTGCTGTACTCTGCCTTTGCATTGTCTGCAAAAAGTGAGAAGTCATACTAAGGTAAAAGGCAGTAACTTCCACATTATCAATATTTGGTTGCTGATCACCATTTACAAAATCATTATAGTAACACTTGTATAAATCTAGTGATTATGGGCTATCTCATATAGGCTATTGCATATAGTAATGTGACTGTATAGTAATGTATAGTATAGACATATAGTAATGTGTTGTTTTTTTGACCGTAACAAATAGACTAAAAGTTAAACGTGAGTGGATACCGTTTTGCAACCAATTTATTTGCTATGCTCAGTAATGTAAAAGAATGCTAGAAATAGCATAATTGCTTTTATATTGACTTGAATGAAATAGCTTAACCTAAAAGAACGACTTGTGAATTAATGTGAACAACAGCAAGCAGGAATGCTCAGAATGCTTGTGGATTAAACATCTCCAATGACGTTCATCGCCATGGATTGATTTTATCGGGTTACAAGAAAAGGTAGGATATGGATTTAATTGCGAACTGTTAGTACTGATTTTATGATTGATCATGCTACATGCTACGGCATTTGAGTCCACACGCGTCCAACTAGAAGTGACAGCCTGGTGAATAATCTGCATTACAAAAAAAATAAAAATAATTAAAAACAAATCTTTAAAGCTTATTCGCGATTATGTATTGCTACCAAGGTATCTAGTCTTTACAGTGCTTTGTTATATGGAGCTGTTTGGGAGATCGCAATCTATCTAATTAATTTGTCTAATAAAGTGCTTCAGTGACAGATCAGATGTGTGAAAGTATACAAGTTACACCATAATTAAAATGCGGGAGACTTTAATGGACAGAAAAAAAAAAGGCAGAACACCGTATAACTCCAAGGCGGTGTACCGATGAAACATGCTACCTATGAGATTGTGCTACCAAAAATATATTGACATTGTTTTAAGGGTAAGTTTAGGGTAAGGGTAGGTGTGGACGGGTAGGTTTAGGGTAGGGGTAGGTATGGACATTAACAAAAGCCTCAAACCACAGGAATAAGATGCTGGTAGCACAAATCGTCAGAACACCGGCACCGTAACTTCATATTGACACGCTGCTAAACACAGGCAGAACGCCGCCACTCATTTTGAGCGTTCCAAACAAAATCAAAGAGCAGTAACTGGTGTTATACGGTGTTCTGCCTTGATTTCTCCGGGGCTTTTCGAAATTATGGGTAAGACAACCCATTATTTTCTCGGAAAAACAACAAAATTGACTCAAGATACTTATGCACATGATAAAGGATGTCTTGAATGTCCCCAAAATATGAATAACTCATTTTCGACCAAAATCAAAGCTACGGTCTTTTGCCTTTGCATGGCAGATTTCCTCATTAGTTATTTTCTAGATAATTATGCAAAAATAATATAATTATGATATATGTTTAATGCTTTGAAGAAAGAAAACTCTGCACAGCTATGTTCTATAAAAAAAGGTTCAAGTATATTTGATACTTTGCAGTATATTTGTGTATACTGTATGTACAGTATACAACAATAATTGTGATGTGTCAGTATTTCCCAACATTTTCCCCTTTAAAAAAATGTTTTTGTTTATATTTAAATAAAATAAATTCCAAAATAACAATGCGTACCATAGAGGGTTAAATAAATGTTGAAAAGGGCCTATATTTCTGTGACGTCATTTTGTCATCTTGATTCCAGTATGAAAACTAATGCTCTCCTCTATTTCTTTCTTTCTCCTCCTCCAATTATAGGTAATACTAGACAGGACAGATGAGGTCAACATGTGTTGGTTCATCAGCAGCATAACAGCACAATGTGCCAGAACACTGACACCACACGGATAAAGGGAGAGAGAGAGAGACAGGTAATCTCTAGCATGTCTAATCATTCTGCCTGTCAGAGCCTAATTTCCCAGTGACCTCTGAAACCTTTCCTCAACTGCATTAACAGCAGCAATTGTGGAACAACCTGCTCTTAATGTGCCTAACAATCCAGTAAATGAGTTAATTAAGCACTTAAATTACCATCTACAACTTTTTTGATCATGCCTTCATTAAAGTGAGAGGTGAAATGACATAAATTAAGGATATGGATTAGACTGTGTCTTAGGAAAGTGATGGATGGAAAATTCAAGGCTTGTGTTTCTGAGGTAACACCCAAAATTGTTATATGAACAAGATGAGTGAGTTATGTGTGACTTGCGTCTCTGGGCGAACACACACACACTCTCACACACTTTTCCCCTTGGCTGCTTTGAGACAAATGACGTTATTTGGCTCATCTAGTCAAGGTCAATGCAGGGCGCTGTTAATTTATTTACGGATTTGAAATTCTTTAAGGTCAGCAGCTCACTTTTTAGTTTAAGGCATGTTTTAAATGTGTTCAAAGGCATCTTTAAAGTTTAGATATGATTGTTCTTCATTTAAAACATTGTTATTCGTGATGATTGTGATGTGAAACAATAATTTTTAATGGTTCTATAGAAGAGCTCTTCAGGGCAGTTGACTTTTACACACACATACACACACTGAACGGATGGGCAGCAGTGTTTTTCATGTCAGTATGGTGATACAGAGGTGTAGTAAAACATTTCCTCTTGTTTGTTGTTCTTTGAACGTTAAAACAGCGCCATCATTCAATCACACACATTGTATGAGAGGAAATGTGCGAAGTTTGTTCAGGGTGCCAAAAGTTTCTCAGCCAAAGTAGATCACATGCACACATAATTTTTTCAATATTTCCTCTGTTTGAGCACTGTAGTCGCCACATTGACCGCAACTGACATTTTGTCAGAAATGTAGTGACAAATAATTCACTTCAATATTGTTTTATGACTTTTTTTCAGATTAATTAGAGAAACACTCAAGTATATTTCTCTAAAGGACTGTGTTTTCACTGTTTGGCCCTTTGAGGATTGGTTTGACTTTTCCAGACTTTTAACAAACGTTTCTTAATATACTTGTGATATGTAAAGCTACAATAAAATGTTAAATAATGTGTTGTTGTCATTGGTAATTTGTCAATCAGCCACACTGTTGCTATTGTTACCCACTTACCTGAACTTAATGGCTATATGCAGTGCTAAATACAGTATGGACTTTGACAAACCTGTCATCTAATTATACTTACATGCATAAGCGATGACTGAATCATGTCAGATGATATGGCTAAGAAATATTCTGAACTGGTACTGTCTTGTTTTGTTGATTATGCTCAGATGGAATTGGAAATGTGTTTATGTGCAGTGCACACAAACACACACAGGAGCCCGACGGTCCAGCCTGCTTGTAAAAGATGGATGATATCTGCTGTTGACCTTTGAGCTAGTCATGGTGAAAGTCAGTTTGGCTGAGCTCGGTGAGAAATTATTTGAGTTTTGTGTGTGACCTCTGTTGGCAGAACCTGCACAGTCTACTACAGATGTGCACCATGAATATTCATAACTTTGGTTAATGACCATTTTTGTCTGCTGTAATGTAAAAAGCAGCACTATATTGAGATTCATCTTATGTTTTCGTCTATTTTCAGCTGTAATCGGACTCAATTCAAAGGTTTTTGTAAGTGTAGTTCTATTTAATACACAAATTATTACTTTGAATTAATTTGCCATCTTGAAAACCTACTGGGTATAATTTATATATATTTTTAAATTTATTGTCAGCACATTTATGAGAGGCCAAATCAGTATAAAATAGGGCTAGTTGTGTATGTGGTTGTGGAGCTTTTGGCAATGAAATTCGTTTGCACTCTATCCCCCTGTCTGCTTTAAATATACAACTGGCAAAAAATAAAATAAAGTAAATTAAATCCAATAAAACACAGGCTTTAGCCTCTCTCGATTTTGGCCCTGACTCCCTCCCCTGCTGCCCAGTTACACTAATTAAACAAATAGGAATATTCATAAGTACACAAATGGATGGCAGAAACACATCTACATCAACACCTAAATCAATAAACCGCTTCCAACTGCTAGCTAAATTATTACCATATTTAGTGAGGTTTGGTGTACCAGTCGAATGAAATGCCAGCTCTCTAATGGCACAGTTTCAGTAATGATCTCAAATCCGTGCAAAATCAACAGCTTAACCAGTCATTTTTGCCTTCAGGAACAGACGAAGAGCTGAATGCAAATGTTTTGTGCTGTACATTTTGGTTCTGAGGAAAATGGAATGTGATTTTTGCCTTATGCTGTGGGTCTGAGATTTAAAAAAAGTTTAATTACTTTGCTAGCAGATATACATTGCAAGCTAATTAGTGTATGTTTGTGAACAAATGTGTGTATGTAGTGTGTATGTCTGTGTTTGCAATTATTGATCCTGTACCTCCTTAAGGTAGTCAGTGCTGCTCCTAGAAACTAAGTTCGGTTTAATTTAATTTCCATGTAATTCAGTTCAGTGAACTGAAGGACAGTTTAGAGCATGTGCATTAGATAATGGTAGTATAGTATAGTGAGTAGTCAATAATAGTAGTTCTTTCACCCAAGCCATTTAGCTCATAACTTAAGCTAAACGACTGGTATTTTCTGCCAAAGCTTCTGACAATTAAAACTTAATACTGACCAAAATCAATTTCTGAGCATCTTCGCTGACAATAAAGATAATAGTGATGGCACTGATGTGCACTTAGCTCATAAAAATTATCATTCTGACATGACTTTAAGACAGGATTTGTTTATTAGATGGTTACCTTTCAAAGGTTTGATGTCAGTAAGATTTGTTTTTAAATAACTTAATACATTTATTCAGCAAGGATGCATTACGTTGATCAAGTAACAGTAAAACATTTGCTTTGTTACAAAATATTTCTATGAAAAACTATTTAAAATCGGTTTCCGCAGAAAATAATCAAATATCAAACGGTTTTGAAGATTGATAATAATAATAAGACATGTTTATTGAGCAACAATTCAGCATATTAGAATGATTTGTAAAGGATCATGTGACATTGGCTGCTGAAAACTCAGCTTTGTTTGCATTACATGAATAAATTACATTTTAAAATGTGCTCAAATAGAAAACATTATTTTAAATTGTAATACTAGATTTTTTGATCTGCTGCATGTATTTTTGAAATACATGCAGCCTTGATGAGCAAAAGAGACTCAAAAACAAACTGTATTGAGCACTATGTGCTGCCTTGCCTTTCTTTGATTATTTCTAAGGTTTTTACTTTGCCTTCACCAGGTCTGATTCCCCCTTCTGACATGCTCTTTCTTTCTTAATCTCTCTGACTGATCTCTAAAAATGCTGGACCTGATAAAACATGAACTCATTACTTCACAGGAAGTGTCTGATACACACTGTATTGACAGTGCTTTTATCTGCCAGACTTTCCGTCTTGTCATTGATGTTGAGTTGAAGTATATTGTGTTTCACAAACCTTTCCATACAGTCACCCCAAAGCTACAGATTTAAACATCCAATTAACCTGCTTAGAGATCAGCCCCCATGACTACACTAGAAAAAATCCATGCCTAACGGTCCAAAATGTTCTTATAAAGCATGTCGTATTTATGTATACATTGTGAAATGAGAACAGGCTGCACAGCCTCCAATTCTGACTAGTCTCATTAGCATGATTTACATGAACTACTAATCCAACCACAGCCCTTGTTGGAACCATTCATGTTGTTCTTGTTGAATTGTTGGAATAAATGGGTGTTCTTTAATTATTTTGATGTTTAAAATAATTGAATGTTAATGTACAAAATTTCTTTCAACGGAGAGGTTTGACTCATTTGGTCACAACTTTTTTGTTTCTTGACTTCCTGTTATATCTTTAACCACATTATGGACTTTGTAAACCTTTTAGAATAAAATTAACCCACGTGGAAAGATTTCTTGACCTGTGTAGAAGAATAAATCACTCGCTTGCATTGTGATGAATTCGTAGTTTTTTTCTTTTTTGGAGGTCAGACTTAAGGACAAAATTCAGTCATTGGAGTATTTACTCACCCTGGTGTTATTCTAATGCATAATGCCTTTTTTTTCTGGATCACAAAAGGAGATATTTAAAAAATAATGTCTTGCTTGTGTTCAAACATATAACAGTAGTGAACGGAGACCAACTTTCTTTAAAAAAATAATGCAACAGTATCATCAACAAACTCCCACGTGACTCGTGCTGTATATTTCAAGTGTTCTGAAGACACACAATGAAAAACAAGCTGAAATGTATTATTTAGCGAAATCCTGGCCTTGCCGTTTGTGAGAATACGTGAGAGTAGCGGTTCACTCTGGCTTGGCCAGAAAAAGAACACAAGTGCACACATGTTCAGGATTTTCGCTAAATAATAAATTAAATGTCAGTTTGTTTTGGATGAACCATCCCTTTAAGTCTTCTCTCTTTGTGAAAGATTATATGGTGTTTACACAAATCACAGAGCTGGCTAGGTATTATATAAGGACATTAGAAACCCATCAGTACCATCACTCCAGCTTCCCACTGACTCAACTGGTCGAAAACAATCAGATTCTTATTGACCCCACGTCAGCTCAACATTACTGTGTGGCCTGACAAGACCGCCGAGAGCATAATAGCTGAACCAGAGACTAATTAAGCTTCATCTAAAGCCTAACCTTCCAGATTGCTTCGGGGAAAAAAAAGAAAAAAAAAA